TTTCCTTCTTGAATTGGCTCCTTCCCTTTTGACTTGTTTCTTTGAAATAGAGCTTCATCATCATTTTCACTTTCAAGAATTTTTTCAATTCCCTCTTCATTTGGCCTTTCCTCATCTTCATCTTTCTCAACATCTTCTTCAATTGTAAGATCATTAGAAGGAAAGGGTGGATCTTTCAAAGATTTTCCACTTCTAGTGGTGATGGCGTTGACATGATTTCTAGGATTTTCGGTGTTAGCCGGAAGTCTACCACTAGAAGATGAGGCTTGTGTAGATCCTTGAGTGCCTCCTCCTTGATTTTGGGTTTGTAGATTCTCCACTTGAGATTGCAACTTGCTAATTTGAGACATTTGAGACATCATCATGTTCACTAATGTCTTCATGTCCACATCTTGAGAAGGTTGAGAGGATCCTTGTTGATTTTGATTATTTCCATATCCTTGATTTCCTCTCCATTGTTGATTCAATTGATTTCCACCTCTATTTCCTTGATTTCCTTGAAAACCCGGAGGTGGATTTCTTCCTTGCGCACCTTGGTTATTCCAAGAAGACCCAAATTGATTCCTTCCTTGTTGGCCATAATTTCCATATCCTTGCCCTTGGTTTTGGGGTCTAGAATACCCAATCATATCCACTTGCTCCATGCTTGATAAAGATCCTTGGCCACTAGGGTCTAACAATAGACAAGCTTGAGAAGCATGAGCTCCACCACATATAGCACAACAAGCTACCATTGCCATGCTTTGAGAACCGGGAGAAATGTAAGTAGCTTGTGGCAAGGAATAAGGAGTAGACATGTAGGATGCTTGAGGAGGAGTTTGAGTCACCGCTTGCACATCTTGCTTTGGAGCTTGCATCATATTCTTGAGCATGTGTTGAATTGAATCCAATTGAGCTTGCATGGCCATCTTTTCTTCAACCTCAAACATCCCGGCATTTTTTTCTTTCTTGGGTGGGTCACTTCTTTCATTATACCAATATGCCGTGTTGGAAGTGATCCTCTCAATCAATTGTTCACCATACTCCGGACCCATATCAATAAAAATGCCTCCAAATGAAGATGTGTCAAGAATGGTTTTTGAGCTATCCAACAATCCCTCATAAAAGGATGAGATGAAATCCCCCGGAGTTAGCAAATTCTTTGGACATTGTCTTCTCAACTCCTTAAATCTTTTCCAAGCTTCATACAAATTCTCATTTCCAAATTGTTGGAAATTTTGAATTTGCTTCTTCAATTTGGCAGCCTTGGAAGGAGGGCAATACTCTTGCATGAAGGCCTTGTAAAGTTGTTCCCAAGTTGTAAAGTGGTTGGCCGGAAAGGAATTGAGCCAACTCAATGCTTGGTCTCTCAATGAAAAAGGGAATAGCCTCAACTTGATTGCATCACTAGGAATCCCATTCATCTTGATTGTTTGGCAAATCCGATCAAAGTGAACAACATGAGCCTTAGGATCCTCAACCCTTGAACCTCCAAATTGATTGGCTTGAACCATTTGGATAAGAGAAGTCTTGAGTTCAAAATTGTTGGCATCCACCCCCGGGTAAACAATGCAATCCTCTTCTTCAAACTCCGGAGCTAGATGGGCCGCCATGGGTTGCCTTTGTGGAACACCTTGATAGAAAATAGGAGGAACTCCTTGTGGAAAGTTTTGAGGCATGTTGAACATAGGATTGGCAAAGTTGGGGTTCATTTGATGAAGAAGATTTTGCATACCAACCCCTTGGCCTTGTTGTTGTTGAGGTTGCCCATACCCTTGAGGAATGCCCCCTTGATTCATGTTAGGATAAAATGGGTATTGAGCTTGTGGAAACCCCATTCCTCCTCCAACATAAGGATTGACATTAGGATTTGCCATGAAGTTTTGTGCCGGTATTTGAACGGGAGCAATTGGCACTTGAGAGACATTAACATGAGCTTCATTGAATTCCCCTTGTCTCGGGCTATGTTGGGTGCTTGTATCATTGGGAGAGATTTGACCGGGATTGCTAGTGTCACCCGTTTCCATGTTTATCTCCAATGATCCAAACTCCTTCAACCAACCGAGCAAGTCTCTTCTTTGTCTCCTTAGCTCCCTAGAGAGTTCTTGATTGAAAGGGTGAAGGTCTTGGCTTCCTTTAGACCTAGTTTGCATGCACCAAGAGGAGTACCTACAACCAAACTCAAGCAAAGACAACTTTGGAAGCACTTAGTCACAATTTAAAACAAACGAACAAAGGAAAATAAAAACTTGATCTCCTTAGAGTTCACTAACTCTAATGCTAGAAAGACAAAGCAATCACACAATACAACCAAATAAACCAATCCCCGGCAACGGCGCCAAAAAGTTGATGTACGGGAAAGAGATGGTGAGTAAACGGGTGTAAATTATCGTTCCGCAAGGGATTGGGACTATGGCACGTACTTGCGTGACAACTAAAATTCTAGGCACCAAAGTATTGGAACCCACAAGAATCCAAGCAAATTCAAATTCATGGTTGGGTAATGTCAACAATTAAAGGCTAAAAATCTAGTTAAGACAATGCAATTTAAACACAAGTAATCACAATGATAAAAGATGGGCTCAAATTAGGGGATGTTGCCTTCTAGATGCTTTAACAACTTAAGGATTAGGGGAAGAACATCAACCAAATGAACATTAAGGCAATGCACAAGAAAATCCTAGCTTAAAGCCATTTTCATAAGCTAAAGAACAAGGATTAGAGCAAGGATTGCCCCACTTTCATGGTGTATCAATTCCTAGCTCTTAAAGCACATAAGCATTTAGGCCCCCAATTCTTCCCTATTTTCATAGAAAGAAAATGGGGTTTGAGAAAGGAGAGGCTTAAGTTCTTCACCCAACCTTCATTGTGGAGAAGAACTATCCAAAAGCAAGCTAATAAGAGTTACGTACCAAATATTAGCAAGATTCAACATAAAACCAACTCAAACAAATGAACTCTAGGTTAGGGTTCTTCCCCCTTATGCAATAATCACCTATTTAGCATCTAGGTTGGCAATATCACCCTAATCCAAGCCCAAAAACGAACTACTCACACTTCATAAGCATAAATAACAACAAAGTACAAGAAAATATCATAAACATTGCACAAAAGCTTAAGAAGAAGAGTAAGAAGCTTCTCTATTGAAGATGAAGATTTTGTGGTTGAATCTCACTCCAATCCATGATTACAAGCTTTGTAGAAGAGTTAGAGATGAAATACTAGACTAATCTAAGCTAAGGAAATGAAAGGAAAACGAGTTCTTGCTATCTAGGGTTCTAACCTCACTCCTCTCTCCAAAAAATGAGTTATAACGCAGTCAAAAGAAACAGAGATGGGCTGCTCGACGCGTGGAGCGTAATTCTCGACGCGTGGAGAAATTACAGAAACATTCTGCCAGGATTCGACGCGTCGAGAGTAATTCTCGACGCGTGGAGAAATTACAGAAACATTCTGCCAGGATTCGACGCGTCGAGAGTAATTCTCGACGCGTCGAGCGCTGATCTGCAACAGAACTTCGACTTGCAGGCTAATTTTGACCCTTTTTTCTTCAGAATTAGGCTTCGGTGTCTTCATGAAAGTTGTAGATCTTCGAGTCTTCTTTCAAATGGTGCAAGAATCACTTAATTTGGACAATCCTAGGCCGAGATATGATCAAATTACCAAACAGTGGTCAGTTTCGGGTGAAATCTGTAAGTTCGGAACTTCAACTTCAAGGATGATTTTGACCACTGTGGCTTCCTTTTTAGGCTTTGATATCTGAATATGAGTTGTAGTCCTTTGAGTCTTCTTTGCAATGTGACAAGAATCATGTAATTTGGATGTTTTTAGCTTGAGATATGGTCCAAAAACCATGACGTCAACGTGCAGGTCGGGAATTGCAATTGCATGGTCGCTTGCTTCTCTTTTGCTTTGGTTTGCCCACATGACCAAGACCATTGAAAGAACCACCCTAGACTCCTTTGGAAGTTTTGCATCCATCTCCATAGCTTCATAGTTGGCTCTCATTGACTCCAAATTCATCCAAAATACCTCAAAAGCACACAATTGCCTGCACTCTACACTATGCATCAAAAGATATAAACAAAGGAATTAAGACACTTCTTTGCATAAAATCAAAGTGTTTGTCACACAAAATATGTCTATACAAGGGGTAAAAATATTGACATAAATGCACTTATCAGTAGGTTCACATGGCTGCACCTAATGAGACACAAATTAGAAGCAAAAGGCATATTTCAGAATTTTTACAATCTTGTCTATACTCAGTTTGCTACAAGAATTAAGATGGTTAGATCAGATAATGGAGGGGAACTTATGATGGCTTCCTTCTTTAATGAGAAAGGGATAATACATCAAAGGACTTGTGCCTATACACCCCAGCAGAATGGGGTGGCAGAGAGAAAGCATCAACACATTCTAAGTATGGCCAGATCTCTAAAGTTCCAATCTGGAGTGTCTGATGATTTTTGGGGCCATTGTATTTTGCATTCTTCCTTTGTGATCAACAGGTTACCAACTGATGTTCTTGATGGATGGACTCCTTTTCAAAGACTCTTTGGAAAGGAGGTTGATTATGGTCAGTTCAAACCCTTTGGCTGTCTCTCTTTTGCTGCCACTATTCCACATGGGAGAAACAAGTTGGGATCCATATAACCATGTATGTATGAGTATTTTATATACCAAGGAATGCCACTCAATTCCTGACCTATTCTATGAAACAAACATGCCATTAGAGTTTATGGAGGGGTTTAGGTGGTCCAACCGGATTCTTAAGTCGGGTATCCATCAGCATGCATGAATGAAACCAAAATAAAATCCAACAGGAAATAATAATAATGCGCGCATGACATAAATGTGTGTGTACTGAGTTTTATTATGTGCAGTTGAGCCTGGATCAAGGTTGGTTCCTCTCACCACTTGACACGGACTGCCTGGGTCGGCTCCACAGCGAAAACAATTCATTAAGTCACGGGATGTCAAGTCAGGATGACAAGCTAGCTGTTCCGTTCCTTGTACGTCTTTAATATAATTATTAATCAACTCGATCCCATCCTATCCAGCCTAACTAGCTGGCCTACTTATCATCAACAGGCCGATATAAACCAGCTGATCCAGCAAGTTAAACAAATTGCATATATGCAGTATTATAATTCCATATAGCTGTTTTACTCAATCTCCGATATGATCACGATGGCAAGTGCCGCATTATTATTATTATTATTATTATTTATGATATTTAGCTTCTTGGGTTGTTTTTGTTATATGAAGATGAAGATGGAAAGCAGCAGCCGGTCGGCGATTCCAAGGAAGTGGGCAGTAGTGGGAATGTTGCCCGGGCTTCTATACAACGCTCACCGACTGCACCAATTTGTCACTGATATTCTGAAAGAGAGCGGAGGGACATTTGAGTTTAAAGGACCTGTGTTGGGTAACTTGGACATGCTTATTACCTGCGACCCTGCTAACATCCACCACATCCTCAGCCGGAACTTCTCCAACTATCCAAAAGGCCCTCAGTTTCGACAAATATTTGATGTTTTGGGGGACGGCATTTTCAATGTGGATTCCCAGTTGTGGGAGTTTCACCGTAAAACCACCCTCTCCTTCTTCAATCATGCCCACTTCCACACCTTGCTAGAGACTAATGTGTGGCACAAGGTTCAGAATGGGTTGTTGCCGCTTCTGGATTCTTTTGCGGAACAGGAAGCCCAGTTTGATTTGCAAGACGTTTTCCAGCGCTTCACCTTTGACACCATCTCTAAGCTCGTCCTCCACCATGACCCTGGAAGCCTCTCCCTTGGCTTGCCATATATTCCATGCGAGAAGGCCTTCAATCCTATGGTGGACGCCCTTCTGTACAGGCATATACTTCCGGAGAGCTGCTGGAGGTTACAGAAATGGCTGGGGATTGGCAAAGAGAAGAAGCTTATTCAGGCGTGCCGGGCTTTTGATCAATATATATACTCCTGCATTAATAAACAACGCCTCCGCCAAGAGGAGCTGATGATGATGATGATGGCGAGCACAAATATTAATAATGACAACTCGGAAGACTTTAGCTTGTTCACCGCTTACGTACAAGCATACAAGCAGCAGGAGCAACTCACTACTAGTACTGGTTCTTCACTAGTGAAGTTTCTGAGGGACACTTTCTTAAGTTTAATGTTTGCAGGGAGAGATACAACCAGCTCAACTCTCACTTGGCTTTTCTTCCTGCTCGCCCAAAATCCCTTGGCTCAGGCAAACATCCGAGATGAGATTGAAAACAAATTGAATCTTCATCTTCTGCAGAAACAAGATAAAAAGTTGTTGTTTTTGAAGGTAGAAGAATGCCAGAAATTAGTGTATCTGCACGGTGCACTGTGTGAATCCCTGAGACTGTTCCCACCTGTGGCCATTGAGCATAAGGTGTCGGCAGGGATGGACGTCCTCCCTAGTGGGCATCTGGTCAAGCCCAACACCAGAATGATACTCTCATTCTATTCATCAGGAAGGATGGATTCAATATGGGGCGAAGATTGCATGGAGTTCAAGCCAGAGAGGTGGATTTCAAGCAAAGGGAGAATCAAGCACGAGCCTTCCTACAAGTTTCCGGCATTCAACGCCGGACCCAGGACTTGTTTAGGTAAAGAAATGGGTTTGGTTCAGATGAAAATGATTGCTGCAATCATCTTACACCATTATGAGTTTCAAGTGGTGGATTCTCATTCAGTTTCTCCCAGTGATTCAATCATCATTCAAGCTAAACATGGCTTGAAAGTCAAATTTACCAAACGAAATACTGCATGACACTTTGTCTGTATATGTTCGTTCGTTCGAGTCCCCACGCTCAGCAGTAATATAAGGTAAGCTAAGTTTACACTCTGGAAATAAAGCATATTTACTGCTACAATAATTCCAAATGCTTAATTTATTATTTGTTTACACAGTAGTAGTAGTATCTGCTCATATTGTAACAGTTCCTACCCATTATAATTTCATCAATTTACATTCTATAAGCTAGCTAGGCATATATATGTATATTATTGTGTATATATACTGTGGCAATTGGAAAGGGCATGCAACGAGATATATATATAATGCATGTACGCTAGTTATTATATTGGTGCGGAAGCATTCACCGAATAGTACCGCTGGTTCGTTCACACGTATATATATCTTCTTGCTTCCTACATGCATGCACTTTTTATCACTCAAAATTATATAAGCCCTTAGGGTTGGGGATTCAATTTTTTGAAAGAAAAAATTATACAACTTCATTTAATAACGTTAATGCCTTTGGAATGATCATATGACCTCTCATTCATGCATGATTGTTGGAGCAATATAATCATGATGATTGAATAACTGCAATCATGCATCTTGCATCGTTATCACTTTCAAATGGTGGTCAGGCCGGATTCCCATCAAATTTAGGCATATTCAGCTGTGATTATTCAATCATCATTCAAGCTAAGAATGGCATTTTTTTAAAAGTCAAATTTAGTAAATGAAATACTGCATGACATTTCATTTTCGAGTCCCCACAGTAACTACTTAATGTACTATAATTGACTTGACTAAACAATATATTCTATATATAATGTCAAGATAAATAATTGGTGATAAGATTTTTTTTTTTTATCAGTGGCCTATAAATAGGTAGAGATATTTTTCTATATTTGATTTTATACAAATGACATTTTTTCAGACTACAAAAAAAGTTGCAGTCATTACATGAGAGTGTGCATTAAGTAAATCATATCATATTTCTTTGTATGTAATAGTCGGTAAATCACACAGAGGAGAGGTAAACTGCATTAAAAATTAAAAGTCTTGTGTGACGGACTCAACTGATAGGATTTTGATAATAATTATTAAATTCGTGAGCTTATTATACAAGAATAGTGCTCCATCTACCAGGTCATTTATTTTGGGCGAAGATTGTGCTGGGACATACCATACATCTCCAGTTGAATTGGTCAGACTATCTATTAACATATCTGGTTTGAGCTGGTTAATCAATTAGACAAATAAGAAGCTTGTTTAATTTGTTTATAGTAATTTCTTGAATGTGATAAAATTATATACTAGAAGATGTCAACTTATTTTACCTTGTCTATATATATATATATATGATAAAGCAGCCGATTTGGTGCATAGCATGGCATGGACAACGATATAGGATATCTGTCCATTCCTTCATTGTTTTATCTTTAATAACTACAAATAATGCTCTACGGTTATCTCACTTTCATATATCACTCCCAGACAAGCAACGTAACTATACAATATCTATTCATTATATTATTATCGTTTCATATGATTCCTTCAATAATGCATGATAAAATATCTATCCATTACGCCATGATAGACTAATACTATGTTTGACGTCACAAGATTAAGCCATATATATATATATATATATATATATATATATATATATATATATATATATATATATATATATATATATATATATATATATATATATATAGGGTCCGGATCAGGTGAGGACCTAATCTTAGGTGAGGACGTGAGGACTAATCTAGAGCATTAAATCAAAATGATGTATGATTGAGATTAAAAGAAACAACTCACACGGATTAAGAAAACAAATCCCTTTAAAATATTAAAATATATAAATTTAGGGTAAATCAGTCTTACTAAAAGATGTGCATTCCTATACAAAATGTTGTGCATTCCTATACTGAGTGTTGTGCATCAATAACTTCATTGTTGTGCATTCAAACCCCGCCAAAAAATCATACACTGACCATCAAATGTTCTACGATGCATTGAACTATGTGCTATAATGCACAACTCCCTAGCCTATAGTGCACAACTTACAACACTAGGTTGCACAATCATCACACACGAATGCACAATCGTACTACCCAGGCATTTATACATATACACGACAATCCAAATATAGACAATATTATACTCAAAAGAACAAGCGAAAAAAATAAAAAATACTTATTAGTTTGCAAGGGCGAACACTCAATCAATGATGAAGAAATCGCGGCTCCAAATTGCAACGGTGATGATCCAAGAAAATAGGAAACCAATTTGGCCAAGGATTATACATGCGTTCACACTTAAAAAAAAATAGAAAAAGACACTATTATCCCACTTTAACAAAAAAGATCAATCCATGTCATCTCAAGAACTCAAATCTGGACCATCCAAATAAAAAAACAAACGCACAAGATTAGTCCTCACGTCCTCACCTGATCCGGATTCTATATGGGGTTATATATATATATATATATATATATATATATATATATATATATATATATATATAATAACAAAATAAATAATTGGCCAGGGTTTAATCACCTAGATAGCTAGATTATAAATGGAGATATTCTTCAATTTTTAATTCACATAATACACAAATATAAAGTACTATGTGTGTTGAGATAAATGTCTATCTTCAATACCAACTTCCATATAATGTAATGACATTCCGGTTACCATTTTAAATGGGTAGTCATATGTTGGACAAAGTGAGGATTTAGATTCTTTGGACTGAAATTTTTTGAAAAAGTATATGAAAAATACTACCTTGTAAATTAAAGAATCATGAATATTACGACACACAAAAAATGTATATCTTCAATTGAACACGAAATTAAATATAGGAATAAGGTTCAAATTGGCCACTGAACGTAACCTGAAAATGTAATTAGGCCACTGAACGAAAAAAAAAAAAAGTGCAATTAGACCACTGAACACTCTAAAAATGTGCAATTTCACCTGATAGCAGGTTACCCTCAATTTTAGCAGGTTATTTGCTTACGTGGCAACTGAGTTGGCATTTTTAATAAATTTTAAATCATTTTTAATAAATTTTAATAATAAATTTTTATTTTAAAAAAAATTTTAAAAAATAAAAACGATTTTATTTTATTTTTTATTTAATTTTTTTCAATTTTTTATAAAATTTATTATTAAAATTAATTATTATTAATTGTACCACCTCATGGATAAAAAATGATGCATGTCTAACTAATTATACATCTTCCAATAATTTCAAATAAGAAATTGACTTCTTCGTGGGAAAACAAGAAAATAAGAAATTCATAGTCACAATAATCCAAATTCTCAATCCCTATCTAGATGAATTGATAGCACACTATGCACTAACATTCACATCTTCCCAAAAAATAGATCTTTAAATTTCTTCAAACTTTGATTTGTACGTTGCTTGTGGCTTGTAAATTGTAATCCTATTAAGATTCAAGAAACTAATGTTTTTAACGTAACTTCGCTTAATACAAACCATAAAAAATATTAGAAAAATATTTAAAATTTGTAATTCATTAAAAATTGGTAACATTAGGCAATTAGGCAATTAGACTTCTATAGATTTGTAGAGATTAGCATAAAGTAAGATTACTTGGAGAGAAAAGTTCAATGAGTGATTTTTAATCTATTTTTTTCTGTTGCAATTGTGCAAGAGGGCTAGAAGATAAAATTATGTAAAAATTGCGATTTTAATTTTTTTTATTTAAATATTAATTTTTGTATAATTATATTTAGAGAATTATAATTTTAAAGTTTAATTATATATTCATCTAAAAGTATTAATTTTAGTAGTGTCAATTTTAAAATATTTTAATGTATATGTACGTATATACACTTAATAATACCTAACAATTTTAGGGTTGGGGTTCAGCCTTTTGGAAGAATAATACCTAACAAATTAAAAAAAAAAAAGAGTATGTGGTGTGAATAGATAACACTTGTATATATTGGTAGCCACGCATCCAGTCCCCGACAAAATTTTCAGTTTGTGTGAGTTATATTTAATGGGCAAGGGCAACCATCCATGACATTGGTATCGTGATTTTAAAGAACACGAAATATAGTATGGTACGTTGTACAGCTAGCTAGCAGTATAGGCATGATAATTAATTAGTTGCATGTGTTGAGCCTCAGCCCTCATCAGTAGCTCAGCTCTTTGTCCGGTCACTCCAAAAAGGGAAAAGTTGGGCTACCACTTTTCACAATGTGATGGACACAAATAATTAAGAGATCAGATGAGATGTCGCCATTAAATTAGCTTTCTCCATCGGTCCATCCAACTCAAATCATATATATCTATATAAGATAATAGATATGAGTATATGATGTATAAAACTCAATACATATATAATCAAAATGAAAGAATATTGGAGGTGTGGTGTAGCGATGGTGGCCTTCCTGATATTTAGTTTTTGTTATATTCGGAGCATGAAAGGTGGGAGGAAAAGAATTCCAAGGAAGTGGGCAGTGGTGGGAATGTTGCCGGCGCTGATTCACAATGCTTACCGGATTCATGAATTTTTCAATGATTTTTTGAAAGAGAGTGGAGGGACATTTGAGTTTAAAGGACTTGTGTCGGGTAGCTTGGACATGCTCATTACCTGCGACCCTGCTAACATCCACCATATCCTCAGCCGAAACTTCTCCAACTATCCCAAAGGACCTGAGTTTCGAGAAATATTTGATGTTTTGGGAGACGGCATTTTCAACGTCGATTCCTTTTTGTGGGAGCTTCACCGTAAAACCACCCTCTCCTTCTTCAATCATCCCCACTTCCACACCTTGTTAGAGACCAATGTTTGGCACAAGGTATATATGTATATGTGTATGTATTAGTATATAGCAGTGCAGCATGAACTAACGTAACGTGTAAGTGCAGGTAGAGAAAGGGTTGTTGCCGGTTCTTGATTGTTTTGCAGAGCAGAGAGTAGAGTTTGATTTGCAAGACATATTCCAACGTTTCACGTTCGACTCAATCTCTAAGCTGGTTTTGGACCATGACCCGGGAAGCCTCTGCGTTGACTTGCCGTATGTTCCGTGCGAGAAGGCCTTCAATCCTATGGTGGACGCCCTTTTGTACAGGAATATAATTCCCCAGAGTTTCTGGAAATTACAGAGATGGCTGGGGATTGGTAAAGAGAAGAAGCTTATTCAAGCTTCCCGGGATTTGGATGAATTCATATACCACGCCATTACACTACGCCAACAAAATCAAAATAATAATACTCACCCATGGCTATCAGCTGAGTCGGAGGAGGACTTAAGCTTGTTCACCGCTTACGTAAAAACATACGACCACAACAAGGAACAACTACAGACGGTGCTGACTACTAATGGTTCACTGGTGAAGTTTTTGAGGGATACTTTCTTGAATATAATGTTTGCAGGGAGAGATACAACCAGCTCAACTCTCACTTGGCTCTTCTACCTGCTTGCCCACAACCCATCGGTTCAGGCACGGATCCGGGACGAGATAATTGAACACAAGTTTTTGTTGTTTTTCAAGGCACAAGAATGCCAGAAGTTAGTGTATCTGCACGGTGCACTGTGTGAAGCCCTGAGGCTATTCCCGCCGGTGGCAATTGAGCACAAAGTGTCAGCGGAGATGGACGTCCTCCCAAGTGGCCATCGCCTCAAGCCCAACACCAGAATCTTACTCTCATTTTATTCCACCGGAAGGATGAGTGAAATATGGGGCGAAGATTGCATGGAATTCAAGCCAGAGAGGTGGATTTCCAGCAGAGGAAGAATCAAACACGAGCCTTCCTACAAGTTTCCGGCATTCAACGCTGGAGCCAGGACTTGTTTAGGTAAAGACATGGCTTTCATTCAGATGAAAATGGTTGCTGCAACCATCCTACAACGTTATCACTTCCAACTGCACCAGGATTCTCATTCAATTTCTCCCAGTGATTCAGTCGTCATTCAAGCTAAGCATGGCTTAAAACTCAAACTTACCAAACGAAATACTACTGCAGCCTAACCTCACCACAATCATGTTCGATAAATCCAGTCCCCACAGTAAGCAAGCTAAGCTTGCATTGCCTACATAGCTAGCTAGCAAGAAATAAAGCGGACCTGGGCTGTCATATATATATATATATATATTTACTGCAATAACAATAAGAATTTACAATGCTCCATCTTTAATTATATTTGTACTCAAATTGTAACTGTGCTGTTCCTAGCTAGCTAGCTATCTTGAAATTTGAAAATGCAATATAATGCAATGCAAGCATGCGTGATCAATTAATATTCCATAAGTTAGTTCCACGTACGACCGTATGATATCACGGCATCGCAATTGGAAAGGGTAACGACATATATATACAACGTAGCACATATACGTTATTATATTGCTATTGCGTCGGTCCTACATATATGCAATTTCTGTCAATCCGATACAACACGTACAATAGTTAAGCATGCAATGCAATTATATATACAATTTCATTTGGTAACGTTAAGTAATGTCTAAGTCTGTTATTAGTCGTTCCAGCTACATTACCACGCAACATATGCTACAAGTCTTTCATCATTAATATATATAATTTATATATGTTACACTATAACGGGAAGAAGACTACATGAACAGAGAGATGAAAAGGAGAGCAGAGATCTTATTTCAGTAAAAAGTATTCAACAAGGCTTTACACACTGAATATATACAAGGTCAGTTGGTCTGTTATAACTGCTAACAGAAATGGACTTTAGGAGCGATTTACCCTAATACCCTTTGGATCATCTTCTTCAACTGACAGGGACGTATGCATGTTGCCTTCTTCCTTTCTATCACGTGCACTGCTATCTCTTGTTACACTAATTAATGTACTGGGATAGATTGACATGTCTAATTTCATAGAATGGCTTACTTAAAAGTCAAATTTAGTAAATGAAATACTGCATCACACTTCATTTTCGAGTCCCCACAGTAACTACTTAATGTACTATGATTGACTAAACAATATATTCTATATATAATATCAAGATAAATAATTGGTGATAAGACTTTTTTTTTTTTATCGGTGACCTATAAATAGGTAGAAATATTTTTTTTTATTTGATTTTATACAAATGACATTTTTTTTTTTTTGGATAACTAGGAAAGTGGAATGCAGACATGCAGTCATTAGATGAAGATGTGCATTAAGTAAATTATATATACTTATTTGTAATGGCAGGTAAACTGCACTAGAAATTAAAAATATTGTGAGACGTTTCAACTGTGAGAATTTTGACAATAATTATTAAATTTGTGACCTTCATTTATTTTTGGGAGAATGGAATTCAAACCGAACCAGAGTGGTGTTTCTTGCAAAGGTGGAATCAAGTAGCAGCCTTCGTACAAGTTTCTTTCCGGCATTCAACACCAGACCTAGGCTTTTTTTTTTTTTTCTTGAGTACTACTTACTCAAGTGACAATATAGTTAGTATATCTCATAATTACTTTTTCAAGCACTTACCGTACTATCCCCGGTGCTCAAACCCATGACCTCCTAAGTTCCTACTAGACCACATGTTCATTGGCGACCTAGGCGTTTAGGTAAAGAGATGCGTGCATGTCTTTCTTTTAGACAAAAATGTTTAAGTTGCTGCAATAATCATCCTATATCTATCGTTATCTTTTTCAACTGTAATGGTGGATTCTCATTCAGTTTCTCTCATTACGTGATTCAATCATCATCTAAGCTATTAGCTGGCGTAAATGTCAAATTTAGCAAATTAACGAAATACTGCATCTTAGTTCATTTTCGAGTCCCCACAGTAAACCTTAATTAATTAATTAAGATAAGTTTATATAGTGGAATTTGGAAATAAAGCATATCTACTACTACTACGTGAAAAAAAAAAAAAAAAAAAAAAAAAATTGTGCTGAAACATACATTTTCAATTGAATTGGTCAACTATCTATATATTAACCTATTGGGTTTGATCTGGTTAATTAATTAGTTAGACAAATAAGACCAGACCATTGTATGCTACTGACTCAAAACATTGTCCACCTCCATTTAGGCTCGATCTCATGACCTTCTACATGAAAGAGGTCACTACATGCCATCTAAACACAAGGTACTCGACAATAAGACCATTGTTTAATTTGTTTAATTTAGGGTAATTTCTGGAATGTGATAAAATTATATACTAGAAGGTATATATCAACTTACTTTACCTTATATATATATATATATATATATATATATATATATATATATATATGTGTGTGTGTGTGGGTGTGTGTGTATGTGTGTGGGGTAAAGCAGCCGATTTGGTGCATAGCATGGCATGGACAACGATATAGGATATCTGTCCATTCCTTCATTGTTTTATCTTTAATGACTACAAATAATGCTCTACGGTTATCTCACTTTCATATATCATTATCACTCCCAGACAAGCAACGTAACTATACAATATCTATTCATTATATATTATTTCCGAGCTTACATTCCTATGTTTGGTTCATATTCTCTGAGGGAATATAACATTCTCAGGGAATGGAACACATATGATTTTAAGGGAATGTGATTCCCTTCATTTTGTTAGGTTATGTGGATATTTTTAAATTTTGTCATTTTAATTCTAATTATTTAAAGATATATATTTTATGTTAGCTTATATATAAAATTATTTTGGTAATTATATTATATATTTTTTATTACGTTATGTTAGCAATAAAATAATTTTGTTTCTCAAGTTCAAGATTTTAGTTAATATTTTAAAATCATGTAATTATATATGATACCGTTATCTTATTTGTTTAATTTAATTTTTAAGTTTATTAAAATATATGAAAATATGTTAAGGATACTATACTACACACACATATAAGATAACCCTAAACCAAACATGATTATATTACATATCTCAATTTTAACTAAACACAAGAATCTAACATTCTTAGTAATCTAACATTCCCATCAATCTAACATCACTTAAGGTAATCTAACATTCTGTGAACCAAACAACCCCTCAATATCTATCCATTACGCCATGATAGACCAATAATATATACTATGTTTGACGTGACAAAATTAAGCTATAATTTTTGTTATTTATTAATCGGCCCCCAAGAAAAAAATATGTAATATCATATCTACGTACGTACTATAATAACAAAATAAATAATTGGCCAGGGTTTAATCACCTAGATAGCTAGATTATAAATAGAGATATATATTCTTCAATTTTTTTAAGTCACATAAATAATACACAAATATAAAGTACTAAGTGTTGAGATAAATGTTTATCTCTAATGTCTACTATCATGTGGTGTAATAAAATTTTGGTTACTATTTTAAATGATTAGTTATATGTTAGACGAAGTGGGGATTTAAATTTTTTAGAATGAAAATGTTTGAGAAAGTATAGTATAAATACTACCTTGTAATTCAATGCACTAGCATTCACATCTAGATAAATTGATCTGATAGCACACTCAATGCACTAGCATTCACATCTTCCAAAAATTAGATTCATGACTTTAAATTTATCCAAACTTTGATTTGTACTTAGCTTGTGGCATATATGTAATCCTATTGATTTTCAAGAGACTAATGTTTTTATCTTTGCTTAATACAAACTATAAAAATATAAGAAAAATATTTAAAATTTGTAGTTCATTAAAAATAAGTAACATTAGACAATTAGACTTCTATAGATTTGTAGAGATTAGCATAAAAATAAGATTAATTACTTGGAGAGAAAAGTTCACTGAGTGATTTTTAATCTATTTTTTCGTTGTAATTGTGCAAGAGGCTAGGAGATAAAATTATGTAAAAATTGGGATTTTTAATTTAAATATTAACTTTTGTATAATTATATTTAGAGAATTATAAATTTTAATTATATATTCATTTAATCATATTAATTTTAGTGGTGTCCATTTAAAATATTTTAATGACGTATATACACTTAATAATACCTAACAAGTAAGGAAAAAAAAAAAAAAAAGTAAGTGGTGTGAATAGATAACGAACACTTGTATATATTGGTAGCCACATATCCACTCCGACAAAATTTTCAGTTTGGGTCAATTATATTTAATGGGCAAGGGCAACCATCCATGAGATTTGTATCATGAGTTTAATACTTTCCAAAAGGTTCACCACCAATCGTAACGATCCCCACATTCGGACTGGACAAAGCATTTGGGGAGACGTAAACCATGGTAACTCAACTGATGAATATAAACCAAAGAGGCTAAACCTTTACTTACTGCGTACAAGGAGCCCTCCTCACTTTGAGAGGTTGCTCCCACACTGTCGTTGGTAAGACTCGATCGTTGATCATACTTTTCAAATTTCATCTCTATGATTAGTTGAGTTTAATTAAAGAACACGAAATATAGTATGGTACGTACGTTGTACAGCTAGCGGTACAGGCATGTTAATTAATTAGTTGCATATGCTAGCTAGGTGTTGAGCCTCAGCCCTCATCAGTAGCTCAGCTCTTTGTCCGGCCACTCCGAGAAGGAAAAAGTTTTTTTTTTTTTGAAGACAAGAAGGGAAAAGTTGGGCTACCACTTTTCACAATGTATGTACAAAGTGATGGACACAAAGAATTAAGAGATGAGATGAGATGTTGCCATTAAATTAGCTTTCTCCATCCAACTCAAATCATATCTATATAAGATAATAGATATGAATATATGATGTATAAAACTCAATATATAACTACACATACATATATAATCAAAATGAAAGAATATTGGAGGTGTGGCGTAGCGTTGGTGGCATTCCTGATATTTAGTTTTTGTTATATTCGGAGCATGAAAGATGGGAGGAAAAGCAGGAGCAATAATATTCCAAGGAAGTGGGCAGTGGTGGGAATGTTGCCGGCGCTGATTCACAATGCTTACCGGATCCATGAATTTTTCAATGATTTTTTGAAAGAGAGTGGAGGGACATTTGAGTTTAAAGGACTTGTGTCGGGTAGCTTGGACATGCTCATTACCTGCGACCCTGCTAACATCCACCACATCCTCAGCCGAAACTTCTCCAACTATCCTAAAGGACCTGAGTTTCGAGAAATATTTGATGTTTTGGGAGACGGCATTTTCAACGT